CAGAACCACTGCTCTGGACGCACAGCCCTGAGGCCTGGGAAATGCACTCCCTGTCCCGGCCTACACCTTGAGAATACCAAGCAACAGGGCTGCTTTGGGAGTCCGGAAGGGTCTGTATGAGCACTGGCCCGTTGTAAAGTGGTCTCTATAGCCTGGGTTCGCCACCATCACAGCACAGGGTTAGGGAGCTGTGGGGCAGGCGCTCCGGCCAGGGCATGACCTGTTGGTACCACATCTGGGCGGTCTTGGTCCCGGCTCCCCAGATGTTGGAGAAGAGCTCCAGGACAGGCACGCTCTCACTGATGTGGTCCAGCTTCCGCAGGTGCCCGCTCTCCAGGATCTCCACGATCTTCTCAGCCATCCGCTTCCCGACCCCGGGGATGCTGCAGGCCTCCTGGAGGACCAAGAGTGAGCAGATGGGGGCACAGCCAGCGCGAAGGGAGCTGACTCCAGCAGACGTCTGCGTCGGACCCAGCCTGGATGGTGGCAACCATTTGGCTGTGTAACGTGTGGGCACGGCTGAAGATGAGAGGTTTGTCAGGAATGGGGCTGAGTAATTTGCCTTTGGGTTTCCAGAGGGATGGCGCTCCCCAAGCAGGGAGCCATGGTGACACTGAGCTCCATCGTCACCACCACAGCGGCCAGAGCCGACCTTAAGGGGGGGGGGGCTCAGGCGGGTCAGGTCCTGTGCTACAGGCACCGTCTCGGTTTGCCCTCCTAAGAACACTGTGAATGGGTTACATTATTAGTCCCTTCGTGCTGGTAACAAATGCTCATAGAGTTTAAGAAACTGGCCTAAAGCCCCACTGATGGCAACTGGAATTCAAACCCTGGTCTGCTGGGCTCCAGAGTCGAAACTTCAAGACAAAAACCCTTTGATTCTGTCACAAGCTCAACATAAAGAGAACAGTATAAGGAACCCCTCAGTACCCCTCACTCAGCCTCGACGACTAGCGAGATTTTGCCAAGCTGCTTTCCCAGTCTTGTGTTTTGTGGCTTTTGTGTAAATCCCAGACTTCCTAAGATCGTACCCACCATAGCTGATCCCCAAGTGGACTGGCGTCCATGAGCCCCCAGCAGGGCAGGCCCCAGCCCTGCCCCTCAGCTCCCAGGTACCTGGTAGGAGGAAACAGGCTTGGGGAAGCTCTTGAGGGCATTGATGGCTTTGGCATAGCCCAGAGCCCTCCACTTGTCTCCCTGGACGCTGTAGGCTTTGGCCAACACTTCCAGCTTCTCCGTGATGTGGGAGTTGTGGTTGGTTGCCTTCTGGCTCGAGGGCTGTGCACAGACCCATTTCTCCAGGGCCTCCGGGGCTGGGCTGGGCTCCGCATCTCCCTCAGGGCGGGTAGGGTAGTGGCCGCTGAGCAGGGCTTCCAGATCGGCAGCGCTAACCTGGGGCTCTTCCCCATCGCTGGCTTCATCATCAGAGGCGGGCTTGAGGTAGGGAAGAACAGCAGATAAGTTCTGGCCCTCCAGGAGGGCGGCTCCTTGAAGGTAGAGGTTGGCTTTGTGTGTGTGTGTGTGTGGGGGTCCCCTTTGCCAGATCCAAAAATGAGGTTGGGTCTTTGTATCAGGCTTTGGGTCTCCCTAAGTCTGGGGTGTGTAACTCACGGCTTCCCTGAGTGGCGAGCCCCAGGATCTGCACGCATGCGTGGGAATGGCCTAGGCGAAGGCAGGGGTGATGAGTGTTGGGAAGAACAAAATGGCTTCATAACCAAGAGAGCATTCCTCTCTCGGGAGCCTGAGGCTTTCTTTTTTAAAAAATTATTTATTTAAAAGGCAGAGTTACACAGAGAGAGAGAGAGAGACAGACTTGGGCTGTCCGCTGCTGGTTTCCCAAGCACATTAGCAGGGAATGGGACGGGAAGTGGAGCAGCCAGGTCTTGAACCGGCACCCATATGGGATGCTGGCACTGCGGCCAGAGGATTTATCTGCTATGCCACAGTGCCAGCCCTGGACTTTCTTTGTTTAAAAACTGATTATTTTGAAAAGGCAACTGGGAAAGAAAGAGGAACAGAGGAAGAAAGAGGGAGAAAGGTGTCTTCCATCTGCTGATTCATTCCCTAAATGGCTGTAACAGTTAGGGCTGGGCCAGGCGAAAGCCAGGACCAGGAGCCTTGTTCTGGTCTTGCCCATGAGTTCCACTTCCACTCAGCAGGAACCCAAGCACTTGGGCCATCTTGTACCGCCTTCACAGGCACGCTAGCAGGAAGCTGGATGGAAGGCACAACAGCTGGACTCGAACCAGCACTCTGATGTGGGATGGCCATCACAGGTGGTAGATTAACCTGCCGCACCACAACACCAGCCCCCACCAGCCCCTCCTCATTCTGAGATTTGGTTCCCAGGGGAAGGAAGCTGTGGGGGCTGGGTGGCTCCTGACCTGGGCTTGGGTGCTTGGTGCCTTTCCTGCCTTTGGGGGAAGAGCTCCGGGTCTGGTGGGAGGGGACGCAGGAGAGAGGGCTGTCCTAAGCAGAGCCTCGTGGGTGCCAGGAGGAGGAGATGAGTCTCCATCTGCCTTACTGGGCTGCGGTTGGTCCAAGTACCTGCAGGGATGGTGATGGGAGATTAAGACACCAAAGGTCTCACCTTTTCTCTGTTCCTGTTCGTTCTCCACTCCGAGCCCTTAGTTTCCAAACATGTCCAGTTAAGAAAATAACAGTTGTTTTTAGGCACTCAAGATGCTGCGAGATAGGGTTTGAGGACGCCTGGGGCCAGCCCACCTGCTGGGGACGAAGACCTGGAATCCAGCCGTGTCCACCAGCCTTTGCTCCTGCAGGCACAAGCTCAGCCACGCCGACTTCACCAGCCGAGCACCCGCGGGCAGCCGGGGCAGTCTCAGGAGGCGCAGGGCCCGCTCACAGTCCACGTCCTCATCCACCACGATGTGAGTGACCCCTGGGGCCTGGGCAGGGCACACCTGGCCGCCATGCTGCACAACCTGCTTCTCAAAGAGTTCTGCCCGGGCTCGTCCGATGCCGGTGGGCACAACGTGGACCCGCAGGGAGTGGAGCCACTCTGTGGAGAGGACATCCAGATGCGAGGTCATAACTTTCAGACAGGGCCTGAATGAGCCATTTGGTCTCCGCCTCCCAGATCAGTCGCTCCCTCCAGAAGCCTGCCTCTTTGAGCCTGCTCTTGGAGCACACAGCAGGCTGCCTCCCGGGCATCGTGTAAATGGAAAGGCTGAGCCGGGCTGAAACCAGGAGCCCAGAGCTCCATCCGTGTCTCCCACGTTGGTGACAGGGACCCAAGTACTCTGCTGCTTTCCTAGACACATTAGCAGGGAGCTGAACCAGAAGTGGAGCAGCCAGGACTCAAACTGGCTCCCATACGGATGCCAGCAATGAAAGTGGCAGCTTAACCCACTGTACCACAACGCCAGCCCAAGAGCAGGGATTTTTATATGCCCTGTCCCTTGTGTAAGCTAGAACAGTGCCTGGCACACTGTGGGTAACCTATGAATATCTGCTGAATGAATTAAGAGAATGAATGCCTTCTCTCTCTCGCTTTATTTTATGATCTACTCTTTCAACAAAAGCACATATTACTTGCTGTTCCAGGCTTCTTGCCTTTACTGGCTGGCTGATCTAACACTGTCCTCGTCAGCCCCTTCTCAAAGACTCCAGCAGCTACTGGTCAATTTGTCGACAAAACGACCTACACCAAGCCTGGGCAAGTGAGTGGGATTTCTGCCCTGCCCCCCAGGGCTGTCACACAGAAAACAGAGGATTCTACTGGTCTTTTCCTGAGGGACGGGGGAGTATTTTCTGGTTTATGAAGGTCTTGGGGTAGGGAAGATGCTAAGGCAGCAAGCAGCCTGTCAAAGAAGGGGACGGAGCTTAGCACAAGGCAGGTGCAGACAGACTGGCGGCCCCTGGGCCAGAAGAGTCAGTTCTACTCTCCGGCTCCAGACATCAACGATGTAGGGCTGGATAGAAGAAGGCTGAGGGTTCAAGTACACGAGGGTTCCTAGAGTCAGCTCACCTCCTGCTGCTTCTCCTTCTTCCCTCTTGGGAATCTTTGCAAACGCTTTTGGTGATGAGTTGGTATGAATTTTCTTCCGCTTGGGAAACGCCTTCAAGATGCCCCCGGGGTCCATGGAAGCTTGCTCCTGGCTTTTCTGTCCCAGGCTGGTCAGAGCAGCTGTCATGTGGAACCTCTTGGCCTATGGGGATGCGATCGCTACCTACCAAATCTTGGAGACAGCCACTTGCTTCCCAAGGGTCTCCCACGACCCAGTTACATTTCAGTGCCACGAGCCTGCTGTACACTCCCCAGCCTCTCAAAGTTGGAGCACGAAGGGCAATGAGGGAAAGAGTGTTCTTTTTAGCGTCAAAGGGGGATCTGCCTCCCGCATCCCACTTCCAAAGGGTTTTATCAAAACGTGCCGGGCTAGCAACGGAGCTATCTGTGTCTTTAGGAAGTTCTTGGCCTCCCAGAGGAGTGCAGCAGGAGGGGATTCTGCGCCTACCCTACATCCTTCTCTAGCACCAACTCTTCAGAGGAAAAACCGGAAGGAGGGTGGGGCAGGGGCAGTGGGAAAGCCTTGCACCTGCCCTTGTCGTGGGCCACGGCTTGCGGGTGCTGAGCCCTGCGGCTGCGGGCAGATGAGGCACAACCGCAGCAGGTGTGGGCGCTCTCAGGGACTGGGGGGAGTCAGCCTCACAGCTGGGGGTGAAGACCCGGGCAGGTGTGGGACTCCGCAGCAGCACAGCTGGCGAGGGCCAGGGACTCTCAGCTGCGGGCCAGAGGAGAGCTGGAATGTACGGACCAGGCCTTAGATTCCCACGCATCCCCCCCACCCCAATCCCCGACTCGGCCCCAAGCACGGGCAGGGGTAAACGACTTACCAGGGGCGCCAATGAGCGCGGACGGAGGTGGGAGGGGGTGGGAGGGAAATGCCCGGCAACACCTTCCGGGTCACCCGGAAGTGCCCAGCAGCAGAACGGTTGCCATGACAGCGGCCGGGCGCGCTGCAGGATTCAGGGAAGATGGCGGTGACCGGTTGGTTAGAGTGTTTGCGGGCTGCGGAGAAGACGGCGCTGCTGCAGGACGGTAACTCAAGGGCCCCCGCGAGTTCCCTCGCCCTTTCCCTCAGGGTCCGGTGCCGCGTTCTGGGGCCCCCGGGAAGGGCCCGAGGTCCCGGGACGGCAGAGGTGGAAGGGTCGCGACCGTGGCCCAGGCCTGCATTTGTAGAGGAGGAAACTGAGGCCAGAGAGGTGACGTCACTGAAACAGGTGTCCCCGGACACCTCCTGGTATCGTTTGCTCCGTGTCGCTGCGCTGTGGTTTTTGTGAACGACTTTGCTCCTCCCCGGCGTCCTGAGATGCTAATTTTCCACCCCGTTTTACAGAAGGGGAAAGCAGACATACACGGTTTTAGACCGGCCCAGCTCCTTCAGCCAGTCTGCTGGATGTTGACCGGGGACCCCCTGAACCTCAGTGCGGAGGTGCCGTCGGGGAGCGGGAGACTGGGCTGTAGGTCTCACTGCGCTGTTAATGCCCCGTGGGCTTCTTGGCGCGCTGACTTTCCTCTTCTGTAAGGTGGGTGCACTACCGCTGTGACCGCTGGAATTGTTTTCAGCTGTGTTGATAGCTGCGCAATGAGACCCTCTAAATGCTTCCAAGGTCTTTAGAGCCAAGAGCAAGGTTCTGTGTCTGGAAGAGGTGGACACAGGGAATTGGGTCTTGACTTTTTCCCACCTTAGATTCCCCGATGAGGACCCCTGTGCTTTGGGGTCCTTTTCTGGACCCACATGGGAGCCAGGGTGAAGTAGGTCTGAATTCCTGAGTCTTGCAAGCTGATGGGTGGGGGCGGGCAGGGACTGTTCTACAGCCAATCAGGAAAGCCTGGAGTTTGTGGACGTTAGAATCAGCTGCTCATTTGCTTGCTCACTGATGCAACGTTTGGGAAGGTTTTGCTTTATGCCAAGCTTTGTGCTAAAGTAGATGGAAAGTAAAAGACATGGCCCAGGAGTTCACGGGATGGTCCTGAAAAAGACGTAAATATAAATGCTAGTGTTGGTTAAATAAAGGTGGGAATATTTTTAATTTTAAGATTTAGTTTATATATTTGAGAGGTGGAGTTACAGAGAGAGAGGTCTTCCAAATGCTGGTTCACTCCCTAAATGGCCCCAATGGCTGGAGCTGGGCTGATGGGAAGCCAGGAGCTTCTTCCGGGTCTCCCACATGGGTGCAGGGGCCCAAGGTCTTGGGCCATCTCCTGCTTTCCCAGGCCATAGCAGAGTGGAGCAGCCGGGACACTAATCGGCGCCCATGTGGGATGTGGTCGGTGCCGCAGAGGCTTAGCCTACTGTGCCGCAGCGCCGGCCCCGAAAGGGAGTCTTGTATCCAAGGCCGGGAGAGCCTGAAGTCGAAGTGATCATGTCTTTGGAGAGAGACCCAGCGGAAGAGGTGATGTTCCTGGGTCCCAAGGAATTAATGAGTGTTTGCTTGTAAGTGGAGAAGAGAGGGTGGAGCTGGTCATGGGAGGGCGAGGAGGGCTGAGAATCTAGGGCTGGTCACTGCATTTAGAGATGCTAATGCAGTCACCTGTCTGCACGGTGTCAGGCGCTGGGGCACAGGGTGGACAGAAGGGCCCCATTTCTCAAGGGGCCGAGAGGGAAAATGGTAGGATCTGATGGGATGGGTATCAACTGAGGTATATTGCAATAGCTCACTTAGGCTGTGCTAGAGATCTTAGACGTTATCTCACAGGCAGTGGTTTTTGGTTTTGTATTATTGTAAAAATGTGTTTAGAGCTGTAAGCATTGTCGCCATTTGAAGGTCTATAGTTCAGTATCATTAAGCACGTCACATTGTGGTACAGCCATCACTACCTTTCACCTCCAGAATCTCTTCTTCCCCAGCCGGGACCCTGCAAGCTTTAAACAGAAACTACCTCCCGCCTGCCCGCAGCCGCCATTCCACTTTCTGCCTCGGTGACTTTGGCCTTTAGTGACCTCAGAAAAGTGGTGTTGACTAAAATAATCAGAATCTGGTTGAAATTGAAGTTTGAATTTATTCAACAAGTCAGACTAAGCATTTGAACCCAGAAAGAGCTGATCAGTTGCCCGAGTTGGCTGTTCCACAGCCCAAGTTTGGTTATAGGTTTTATACTTTTTTTTGTTTTTGCTTTTTACAGGCTGAGTACATTTATTGAATGAGGTTTAAATAAGATAAATTTATGTATGACTGTTAATCACATTGAACTTCTGGTAATAGTTAACAGACTTGATTATTGCTTAAGGAGGTACATTACATTTTCAGACCCATTCCCACACAACTGTATTCATATTGTCAATCCCTCTTCCCACAACAGTGGCCCTAAAATGTAATGCTTACTCCTTCTTAAGGCACAGTAGATGTTTCC